GCATCGCCTAATTTTATTTGCAGTGTACAAAAGTCCATCAAACCAGAGGCAAATCATGAAAAGGACAAATGAAGTGAAATTTAAATGATTGCATACTCGGAGGCGTTTGTTGAACCACTTATTTTCACCTAATTGCACACTCGAGTGGACAGACGATGCTTTTTCCACTTGGCTGGCTGGCCAAAAACTGGGGGCGGGGAAAACCCCAAGTGGGGGCGTGGCCAAGAGTTGGTCACTGTGTTACGCAACAAAGTCACAAAAATATTTGCCAAACATTTTCCGATTTTTCGGAGACCCCTTCTCCTTCGGAAATGTTTAACCAATATTTGGGACATGGGCAAGCATTTATGTAATTTGTGAGCATTTGCTGTGTTTGCTGCAATAAAGGAAAAGCTATTATAAAGCGGCACCAGAAAGTGAAAGCCGGAAATTGTCAAGAGTGTCAAAAGGGCCGGGAGAAATGAAGATGCGTGGGTTTTCCGGGGGCTAAGGGGATTGCAAACCGCAGGCAGCTCATTAAAGACACAAGTTTTCACTCTCTTCATCTTTCGCTTCATTTTTGTTTCTTTCGGTTAATTTTTGCGCCCGGCGAATGAAACAAATTTCATGCAAATGGAAATGGAAAATGCAAATTAACAAGTTCCTTAATGGCCTTGTGGGCGGGAGGGGTGGTGCACTCCAAGGGCTGTGAAACTGCGGGCCGATTTCAATTAAAAGTTGACAAGAATGCAAGCACCAGTGCTTCTGAAACTGTTGTGCAAAGGCTTCCACATAAATTAACAAATATTTTTAGGCTTTAAGGCAGTCTTTAATACTTTATAAAATAAATGTAAACATATAAATTAAGGTTTAGTTATTTTCTGTTTTGTAATATTCTAAACATAACTAAGCCCTCAAATGTAGGATCTATGATAAGCAATATTGCTTATACATTGCTTATATATACATAAAGGAACGTGGAACTTTTACTCATATCATCACAAGCGCCCTTGTCCGTGTCTATAAATTTAAAACAAAATATTTCTGTATGTAGAGCAATTTAGGGAACTCAAGCTTTAAACTTATTATAGTACAACTCTTCTCTGAAAGCTACCGTGTCATCCCTCACCTTTCGTAGCTTTTTGCCTTCCCGGCTTCAGTTTTACAACTCTATCAATCATAAACTCACAGCCCATGCCTGCAAACTGTAGCTCAATAAAATGTTCTCGAAAATGTTCAGAAAACCGCTCGTCCCACCCTCCGAAAACACTTTCCAGATACGAGTATTGGCATGACATGTCGACAAAAGCAATGATTCCTTTTGGGTAACCCATTTCTGCACCGCCCCGATTTTCCAACTTCCCCGATTTTCCCGCCAACTCTTGTTACGTTACGCGTTTTCCCAGCCGCGTTGCATGTCATGACATGAGCAGGAAATGCGTTTTCTGACGCCGCCGCTGAAGATGCCTCGTAAAGGCGGTGGTGGGCACTGAAAGAAAATACTAGTTAAAACAACGGTTATTTTAAATTATGTTATTAAAAAAGAGGTTTTCTTTGATTTATGAACATAAAAAGTTTAGATATTACTATACATTTTAAATAATTTTCCAAGATGTAGATACATACGCAACCACATTTTGATTTTCTTTTTAACTGCCTACTTTTAGGCATATTTTATGTGATTTCAAAGCACTGGCGAGTTCTGAAATATTTTCTGTACTCTAAATAAATTAACTATGTTGATAAGACTGAGTACAAATTGTGTGTTTAACGTCATATTTGAAATAAAGCTAAAAAGTAGTATGGTTTTATAATTTATAATATAATTAAATACTATTTTTATTTTAATGAAACACATTTTTAAACAATTTCCAAACTATAAAAATAAGTTGTTTAAGAATCCTGCACATTTCTGAAATAGTGTGGTGTATTCATAATTTTCTTTCAGTGCACTTTCACGGGTGCGGAATTTCGGATAGCTGCTGTTCTTGGTTTCTCGGTTAGGTTTACGGTTACGGTTTTTTGGCTATGCCGTGTGCCTGGTTCCGTTTCTTGTGCACCAAGCGCAGCGCCATAAATATTTAAATTGTGCGACGCCGCCGCCACCGCTAAAAACCACCAGCACCACCAGAACCACCATTCCCATCCGCATCCCCATTTTCGCCACCCCTTTTGCCACGCCCCCCACGCCTGCCTGTCTTGCATGTTGCTTGCCGGCTTATTTTTTGACAGTTTTCGATTCGAAGGCGCTGCCTCAGTTTCAGCTACAGATTCAGATTCAGATTGAGCTCGCGATTCCAAACCGCAATTTTCTGATTCTGATTCTTGACTCTCGGAGACGGAGACATTTTATCTTGCCAGGACGCAGGACTCGCTTGCAATTCATTTCCTAAAATATGCATAAGGAGCAGCCGGCGTAGAGTTAAAAAGTACATGAGCAAAATTTGAAATGGAACAGCGGGACATTTAATGCTCTTTATAGCTATTTAAATTTGAAAAATTTTGGACTTTAAAATATAATAAAAACAATTGATTTTTTGAAAGTAAGGAAAGTTGCTTGCATTAGAAGGTGTTTAAAGGTATGCAAAAATAAGTTTAAAAATCATAAATCATTGCTACTTATGTACTGCATACTTTAAGATACTTTTATCTGTGACTTTAAAAATCCAAAAATACAAAGTAAATATCTATTATACTTGTTTTGATAGGAACTAGCGAAAGTACCGCCAAAATTGGTTGACAATATTGGTTTAGAATATATTAAAAAGGTTCCGAAAAGTATGCAACAATTTATGTGGAAACTGAATGTATGGCCGGTTCATGAAAAGGCATTGCTTTTTCTCGCAGACACTTTTGGCAGTGATTGAAAATAAACAAAAATTCCTAAAAGATCTTAATAACCTTCTGGTAGAGTATAACTAAAAGGAGTGGCATCATTTCATTGAATTCGCGCTGTCAAGCAGCCTGCCACGCCCCTCCACCGGTCCCGCGCCCACGAAATCCAGTCGATATGTTGCGAGTTATGCGGCACTCATTTCCTTCTTTGCGGCAGTTGAAAACTTTGCCCGAAACTCGTTTGCCACTTTGTGCATGTTTAACTTTTTAGGCCCACAAACCCTTAACCCTTAACCCCTAGTCACCAACCCCATGATTAACCCCCTGCAACCCCCTGAACTTTGATCGAGTGACAAACGAAACCAGTGTGCAAAATGCAGCACGAACAACTCAATTAACAAAAGCAAAAAAACACCGCAGTCCTGGTTATGAAATCGAAAATTCCGCATTTGTTTGCTCAAGTGATTGAGATTCAAAAAGACTCGGGAGACTTTTTGATTGACCTGCAGAAATTATCATGTTTTTGCCTTGCCAAGCATTTAATATTTACCCACGTCGCCCCTCGAGGCAAAATCGTGTCTGCAAACTTTGCATAATAGACGTGCAAATGTTTGCAAAATATTTACAAGCCAATGAAAATATGCTAAGAATTATTGCACATTTTTCTGGGGCTGAGGACTGGATAAATATTTGAGGGAATTAACTGGCTGGACAATATTTTCTTAAGCTGAAGCCTATGTTGATTAGAGTTTAAAATTTTTATGAAATTTTACCAGGGACAAATATTTTCACTTCAGTTTACTATAACTATTTTTCATATTTTCAATGATCAAATTGGTCGAAGTTTAATAACAAGAAAAATCGTAGCTAATAGTCCTATTACTATTTGTTGTGTACAATATCTAACACTTGTTCACTGAGCTGTCGCTAGATATTTACACAATCATATGAAAATAAAAGAAAAATTCCCCCAAAACCCAATGAATAACTGTGTAGTCCTCTAAATGTCAGATATAAAGAAAGTCTTTAAAAATGCCTTAAAGTCAATGACTCATGAGTCATCATAGTAAACGTCTAAAAATGTCATGCTGACATGGGTCTTAAATTTTTTAAAAAGCTTTTCCTAAGAGCTTAATAAAATAAACCAAATTTAAGTTATTGCTATCGACAGCTGTTAAAGTATCGATACATTCCGTGGTTGAAGTAAATAATAGGGCCTACTGCGTATGACTAATTTTTGTGGAGCTTTTTATGGCGGCCGATATTGAAGTGTTTGATTAGTTAGTCTGTCCCGTGAACTACGCGTTCAGTTACCAGCGATAAGTCGACATACTAGGACGTGCCTTCTAGGGGAAGTATTATTTTGGGCAAGATAAATTAACCCACCATGCCACCACCACCTCACGATCACTGCGGAGGACCACCCCCACATCGTCGTGGACCTGTGATTAAGGTCCAGATCGCACCTCCATGGCCACGTCGTCATCACCGCCCACCACCCCAAGTGGTGGTGGTGCAGCAGCAGCCACCCCCACCACCACCGCCAGTCATGGTGGTGCAACAGGCGCCACCACCACCCTACTACCAGTATCCACCACCCCCACCACCCTCCGGAAGCAGCCACTACCACAACCCACAATATTGAGAAGGAACTTTGATCTGACAAATCTTTTATGAAGAATTTATTTAAGTTAGCCTTACTTATCTACCATATATCCCTAATAAAATGTATTATTTAAACAAGAGACGATTTCTATTCAAAGGTATGTTATTTACATCTGATGTGGTTTTTATACCTAAAAAATATTTTAATATATTTTTGTTTCTGGTTTCTTTGATTTGCCAGCCAGAAAAACTATTTTTGCCCTATTATCACAACATTTGTTTTCTTTAGAGGGACCATATGCATTTAATTTTCATGATGGGATACCAGTTTTTTTGTATTTGCATTTTCCACTTTTCCGCAATTCTTTCCTATCTAGGAGATAAGAAATTAACCATTGATAAGCCAGAATAAGCTAATACAGTAAACAAAATGCGGGGAGCAAAAGCAAAACCCGCTCACCTGTTAGTGCACAACTGTCCGTTCGTTGTTATCAAACCTGGTCGGATGACTAAGCCACCTTATCTTGGCCTCTAACCACTGGAATAATTCCCCACAAACCCTGATTGATGGAGCCCCCCAAATGTTCCAGTTCGGTTCGATTGTGAGAGGCGTTTTGTTACGGGGTCTCCAGTGCTCAACGCGTTGCTGGGTGGTGAGGTTGGGTCGGTTGGTTGATTATTTTGAGAGGCTAATCAACTATGCGGTACTATGAGGATCCATGCGGCTATCCTGCTCGCCATCACCATGGTCGTCCAAATATCGAGATTGATGTGGTTCCCGGTTGGGGTGGCGCATATTATCCGCCGCCGCCTCCGCCTCGGCCCACCGAGGTTGTCTACATGACCCCGGCGGCTACCTATGTGCCGGGACCCCAGATGGTAGTCCCGCAGCCCTACGGCGGCGTTACCGTGACCCAAAATGGATATTATCCGCAGCAGGCCTACGAGTATCAGTACCAGCAGTATCAGCAGCCCTACAACAACACCCCCTATCAGCAGTGGTGAAGGAGATGTTCAACTGCAAAATAAACCATCACTACATGTTCCTGGTTCCCTTCAAGTTCACTAGCAAATAAAATATATTGTCGATAAAGTGTAACCGAAAGATAACAGAAAAACAACACACGTATCTATTTGTCTTAATCTTAAGTTCTTGAAATGACAACAAAAATGGTGCAATAGTATAGATAATGGGCTCCATTGATATGAAAGACAATACACCAACACGGTAAAAAGTTATAAACAACAAGGAAGGAAGTTGGTAAAAAGCGGTGACAGAATTTATTGGCAAAAGTGTTCTAATAAACTTATTGAAGTTAATATAATTTCACATATATTGGACTAATTCCAAGCTATTGTATCTAACAGTTATGCTAATTACTAAAGTGAAATAAATATAATCTATTGTTTTAAATCAGAAGACACATATTTTTGCGTTCTTATTTGTGTTGGTTCCTTATTATATACATATTTTTTATTTCTTATATAAAATGAGTGCAAAGTCAGTTGCAGTGATAATTGTTTATTTAAAATTTAAAAATTGCATTACCTATATAAGCGTAATTATCTAGAACGACATAAACTTTTTTGATTAAATGTTCCCTCTATTTTCTACAAAAGTGCTCTATATTTCTCAAAGTAAATGAAAAAGAGTGAAGAGTGACCTTTTTGAATGAATCACTAATAATAATAGGTTGTATTCTCCCAAAGTCGCAATTTTTGTCCTTCCCCCTTAAAAAAAATATGATTCACCTTGAACTCGCCTTATGAAATTCAGACGAAAAAACAAAGTCAATTTGACTACTCATTGGAATTTTGTTTTTATCAATTTATTTTTATCAATACATTTTTTATCGTGGAAGACATTAATGCCACCTGACAAGATAATAAACTAAGCTTCTGTGCGGGAACGTACATAACCAAATTAGAAAAAGTTCACCACAAGCGATAACAAATGCCATAAATAGTTAAGCAGGTGAAGAAGTAAATTCAGTTCAACAACAGAGGCAAAGGCAGCACAACTTCACCACTGAGGATCATATTTGGATAGTTTTTTGGATACATAATGCCCTACTACGAGGAGGAACGTCGCCATCACCACCATCATCATCATGGAGGAAGGCCAATTGTGGAGGTGGACATTGTGCCGCCGAGGATCCCGCGGCCGGTGATCGAGATCGGAGTGGGTGGGCGCTATCCACCTCCGCCCCCCAGGGTGGAGGTCATCACCCCAGCCAACGTCTACCAGCCCCCACCACGCCCCATCATCGAGGTCGATGTGGTGCCCCCAAGTCGTCCCTTCATCGAGTTCAACATCGGGGGTCGGCGTCCTCCGCCCAGGGAGGAGGTCATCATCGTCCAGCAGCCCCCACCGCCCAGGTGGTAGGCGTGGTCCTACTTAGGGACTCTGAACAGAGTGAACAATCAAAATAATACTTTAAATTTCCATCGTATTCCGTTAACAAATAATGTATTTTAACCTTAATAAAAACAAATAAATATTATAATAACAAATATTGTCTTGCACTAATTCTCCCTTTAAAAATGCACTTCTTATAAAAGTTTAACACCTTTGTACAATAAATTTCAAAATAATAAATAAAATGTTCACGTTCTCATGTTGGCTTGTTGTTTACTTTAAGAAAATCCCATCCTATTTTTATAACTAATATTTTTTGTATGTCAATAAATATTTAAATCTATAAAGTGAATGTAGACAGTCACTTCATTATTATTCCTCAAGTGATATAAAGGATAATTAATTTGAATAAAATAAACAGATATAAATCTAGATCACATTCTTATTCTCACATTCCTTTTCTTTTGGGAGGCAAATGTAATTTTAAATCCGCTTGAAATATTTGCTTAAATAACTTAAATGCACTTTGCTTTAATTGAAATCTACATGATTGGTTTTCAATGCCGGTTCTTGCCGTGACACATTTTCATACGGTGAATAAATTCGCATATACGCCTGCATTTATTCGCAATGTTAATGGTACGAATATGAAAATTTAACTGCTGGCGAATGCCATAAACAATGGTCAGGCTTTTTGCCCCCCTTACTCTCTCTATTATCTGTATACACGATTGTTTTCGTATATTTTTTGTATTTGGCTCTGGCTGCTATCTGACTTGGCCGAAATGATTGATGTCCTTTTGGCCGGAGTCAGCTTATCAATTAGTGTACAACTAGTCTTGCATGTACATAAATATATTAAAAACTTTAATAAAACGAACACTCTGATATGACATTTGTTTAGGCTGCGGCTTGACTTTGCAGTGCGGAGCTTTAAAGATTATCTTGAATGCGAATAAATTTGGCTCTTGACGTAATAAACATTTTGAATTTCAAAACAAGACTTTTTTAGATATTTAAATATTTTTAAGGATGTAAAATACACATGTGATTTAATGACACTTTGTCAGTTAACACTTAATCACATTTTGTATTTCGTATATATTAAAAATAAATACAAATTGACTTGTATTTATTTAGATCAGAGCATTCATTTTAAGTTTTTATATTATTATATGTTAAGTACTAAAACATTAATGGACTTAAAGGTAGATCAGAGAACGACTTCAATATTTGTATACTTGGGGCAACCCCCTGGGAAGAGGATTCCGGTGAGTCACTCACAGCAAAGATATAAACCATGGAGCAGAACAAATGAATCACAACCACTTGATCGACCCGTGCAGTGATAACATAATCAGAGTACCTTTTTATCGCAATCAAACTAATTTCATATAAATAGTACAAATAAAGGGTAGAGCAGGAATTCAAAGGCAGTTTCAGCTGAACAGCTAACGAAGGACGCTCCCAGAAATCAAGGAACCATGTCTGATGTTCACATCAACCTCCAGTGCGAGTGCTACCATCGCAGGGGAGTTCTCTCTGCTCTGCGAGGACGTCCATGCCGTCGATGCCGCAGGATGATGTCCAGAAATGTGGTCGTAGTGCCCACCCAAATCGGATTTGCAACTGCAACCACCACTGTTGTTCCTGTCGTGGTTTCCACCTACTAAAATTAAAATAAAATAAAGAGATCATATTTTAAAAATGCAACCTAAGACTTTTATTATAAATTAATTTTACGATTTGCACCTCGAAAAATAGTACTTATAAGTAAGATCTACCATCTTATTAAATCACTGTGGACGGCAGTCCACGTAGTGACGAAGCGCACCAAGAGGGTGTGCGAAGGCTACTATATATAGCCGAAGAATTACAAAACTGCTGTGTTGGTCTGATAGTAATACAAATTAAGACTTAAATCCATATACTACTTAAGTAATAAATAAGCGGCATTAAACAAAATTGTTGATCTGCTTTCTATCATTTTTTTACACTTTTACTTTTCTAAGGAGAATAAAGGATATTTTTAAAATTGAAAATGTTGCAAAGTGCAACAAACGACGCTGCTATCTGGAATCCAAGTTAAATAAATATTGAATAAATAAATAAGAGATTATAGATATGTTTAAAGATAAATAAATATGTGTTCGGATTGTGGAAACTTTTATTAAAATGAATGGGCACTTTAAACGCGTTGGCATTGTACATACTATATTTAAGGCAATTAAATTAGTTTTCATCGCATTATAAAAAATGTCTTTTTTTAGTTGTCCTGAGGCAATATTCCTACCTAGAACTCAGTAACTGTCTTCTTTTCTTCCAATTTATATTATTTTTTTTATTTGGTTGCTAACTAATATTCAGTAACTAAAATTTTATTTTTTGTATTTAATAGACAATCAAAGAAAATGTATAATTCCATAAAAAGATATATTATGAGTCACAATTATGACACCCCAGTTCTATAGGCTTTCTACTGTTTAATTAACCACACAAGCAGAAAGAACCACGAATTTGATCCATCAATGTATCGATAAGAAAATCCTCTGTTCTTCTTATCGCAATCGAACTGTGTGTATATAAATGGAATAAAAATGTGGTAGAAGACAAATTAAAACGCAGTCGAGCAGAAAGACCCAAGGAACAGAATCAAAACAAAATCAGGAAACATGTCTGATGTTAATATAAGTCTCCAGTGCGCGGAATGCTACCATCGTCGAGGAGTCCTTTACTACGCAAATCCTTTGGCCTGGGGACGTCCTTGCCGCCGATGCCGCAGAATGATGTCCAGAAATGTTGTGGTAGTGCCAACTCAGATGGGAGTTCCAATTGCCACCAATAACACCGCCAACATAATTACCACAACCACTTTTGTACCAGTCACTGTGTCCACCTATTAAAGTTTAATAAAAACCACTAGTAAAGGAAATACTTCTTCGTTTTACTTTTGAAATTCGGAGTATTAAAAATATGATAAGGCTGACTTAAATTTGAGTATCATACTGTGGGCAAGAGTCATTATTAGCTCAATTGAAAAAAAGTGATTTTCAAAAATTTTTTATGATAGAACAATTTAAAACTTTTGCCATTTTCTAGAGAAACTATTAGAAACCCAAATCTGCACTTCCAGATTCCATAACTTGAGTATTTGGACACCGATTTTGAAGTGGGATACCTTTATGAGTTTGTGGTTGAATTCTCTAAAATACTGCATTCAAATTTTTCTTTTTAAAGAGGGTCATAGTTTTAACCCATTTTCATGTTAGATTTTTCCGTATTTCCCATAGCTTCCAGAATGGGAGCCCAAAACTGCACTTCCAAATTCCATAACTTGAGTTTTTGAACACCGAATTTTAAGTGGAATACCTTTATGAGTTTGTGTTTGAATTCTCTAAAATACTGCATTCAAATTTTACTTTTTAAAGAGGGTCATGGTTTTAACTCATTTTCATGTTAGATTTTTCCGTATTTCCAATGGCTTTCACAATGGGAACCCAAAACTACACTTCCAAATTCCATAACTTGAGTTTTTGAACACCAATTTTGAAGTGGGATACCTTTATGAGTTTGTGTTTGAATTCTCTAAAATACTGCATTCAAATTTTACCTTTTATAGAGGGTCATATTTTTAACCCATTTTCATGTTCGATTTTTCGGTATTTCCAATGACTTCCAGAATGGGAACCCAAAACTGCACTTCCAAATTCCATAACTTGAGTTTTTGGACACCGATTTTGAAGTGGGATACCCCTATGAGTTTGTGGTTGAAGTCTTAAATACTGCATTCAAATTTTACCTTTTAAAGGGGGTCATAGTTTTAACGCATTTTCATGTTCGATTTTTCGGTATTTCCAATGACTTCCAGAATGGGAACCCAAAACTGCACTTCCAAATTCCATAACTTGTGTTTTTGAACACCGATTTTGAAGTGGGATACCTCTATGAGTTTGTGGTTTAATTCTCTAATATTCTGCGATTAAATTTTTCTTTTTAAAGAGGGTCATAGTTTTAACCCATTTTCATGTTAGATTTTTCCGTATTTCCAATGGCTTTCATAATGGGAACCCAAAACTGCACTTCCACATTCCATAACTTGAGTTTTTGAACACCGATTTTGAAGTGGGATACCTCTATGAGTTTGTGGTTTAATTCTCTAATATTCTGCGATTAAATTTTTCTTTTTAAAGAGGGTCATAGTTTTAACCCATTTTCATGTTAGATTTTTCCGTATTTCCAATGAATTTCACAATGGGAACCCAAAACTGCCCTTTCCAGAATCCATAACTTGGGTTTTTGGACACCGATTTTGAAGTGGGATACCTTTTTGAGTTTGTGGTTGAATTATCTATAATACTGCATTCAAATTTTTCTTTTTTAGGAGGGTCATGTTTTTAACCCATATTCATGTCCGATTTTTTCGTATTTCCAACGGCTTTCAGAATAGGAACCCAAAACTGCGTTTCCAAATTCCATAACTTGAGTTTTTGAACACCGATTTTGAAGTGGGATACCTCTATGAGTTTGTGGTTGAATTCTCTGAAATACTGCATTCAAATTTTACTTTTTAAAGAGGGTCACATTTTTAACCCATTTTCATGTTTGATTTTGCCGTATTTCCAATGGCTTTCAGAATGGGAACCCAAAACTGCACTTCCAAATTCCATAACTTGAGTTTTTGAACACCGATTTTGAAGTGGGATACCTTTTTGAGTTTGTGGTTGAAATCTTTAAAATACTGCATTCAAATTTTTCTTTTTAAAGAGGGTCATATTTTCAACCCATTTTTATGTTCGATTTTTCCGTATTTCCAATGGCTTTCAGAATGGGAACCCAAAACTGCACTTCCAAATTCCATAACTTGAGTTCTTGGACACCGATTTTAAAGTGGGATATCTCTATGAGTTTGTGGTTGAATTCTCTAAAATAGTGCATTCAAATTTTACTTTTTAAAGAGGGTCATGGTTTTAACCGATTTTCATGTTAGATTTTGCCGTATTTCCAATGGCTTTCAGAATGGGAACCCAAAACTGCACTTCCAAATTCCATAACTTGAGTTTTTGAACACCGATTTTGAAGTGGGATACCTCTATGAGTTTGTGGTTTAATTCTCTAATATTCTGCGATTAAATTTTTCTTTTTAAGGAGGGTCATAGTTTTAACCCATTTTCATGTTCGATTATTCCGTATGTCCAATGGCTTTCAGAATGGGAACCCAAAACTGCCCTTTCCAGAATCCATAATTTGAGTTTTTGGACACCGATTTTGAAGTGGGATACCTTTTTGAGTTTGTGGTTGAATTATCTAAAATACTGCATTCAAATTTTTCTTTTTTAGGAGGGTCATGTTCATAACCCATGTTCATGTTAGATTTTGCCGTATTTCCAATGGCTTTCAGAATGGGAACCCAAAACTGCACTTCCAAATTCCATAACTTGAGTTTTTGAACACCGATTTTGAAGTGGGATACCTCTTTGAGTTTGTGGTTTAATTCTCTAACATTCTGCATTCAAATTTTTCTTTTTAAAGAGAGTCATATTTTCAATCCATTTTTATGTTCGATTTTTCCGTATTTCCAATGGCTTTCAGAATGGGAACCCAAAACTGCACTTCCAAATTCCATAACTTAAGTTTTTGGACACCGAATTTTAAGTGGAATACCTCTATGGGTTCGTGGTTTAATTGTCTTATACTCTTTATTCAATTATTCCTTAATATTTAGGCTTATTTATACCCGTTTTTCGTAGAGCTTGACATTAAGACACCATTAGTGTCGCAAAAGTGAGAATTTTTCTTTGTACATTTTAGTTAATTTTTAAATATTTACCGTGTCAGAACTTGATCAAGTCGGGCCATTCAATATTAAGTTATTATATTTTTACGGATTTTATTCAAATGTAATACTTCTTATATCTTATCAGAAGTCTCAGGAGATCAATATAAATGTAAGTAAGAAGTTCATCAATCTCAATAGCTTATAAGAATTAGTTTACAATTCTGATCTACCTTAACACCCCTCAAGAGTTTTCAAGTTCCCGATTTCCACAGGTGACTCACGAACTTCAGTTAATGCCAAGGCAACCCCCAGTTATGCGAACCGCATGAATCACTAACCTAAGCCAACCATAATATATATTATTATAAAATCGAGCAGCCCTGAAAAATGTAATCACTAAGGGGTTCCAAAAACGTTGATCGATCAATGTACTGATAAAAAGCAGAGAGGATTTCCTTATCACAGTCTTCAGTGTCGAACCACAGAACAAATAAAATATATATAAAAGAGCCCAGCGAAAATATTTAACAGTGAGCGCTATAAAGTCATAGAAACAAGACCAAGTTAGACTGAATATCGGAAAATGAGTAACGTTAATAATGTCAATATCAACGTCCAGTGCGAGTGCTACCACCGCCGAGGACTTCTTTATTACGCCAATCCCTTGGCTTGGGGTCGTCCTTGCCGCAGATGCCGTCGCATGATGTCCAGGAATAACATCGTGGTGACCGTGCCAGCAGGACAGGTGGCTACGCCAGTGCAAACCACCGCCACCACAGTGATACCTGCCCAGAGTGCGACCCACTGGCAGGTGCAGCAGGAGCCTCAGACCATGTCCGCCCTGCCACCTAAGTACGACATTTGGAAAAATAGATTTTATTTGCCCTAAAGAGAAGATGCTTTTTCTAGAGGTTTATTTCCTTGTGTTTAATTTGCAGTATAGTTAGTAATACAATGCAAATGGGATTCCCAGCTCATTTGCTTGGAAACGGAAATAATAAAGATCGTTTAAGAAACACAAGGGCACAAACGGAAAGTTGTCACTGCACTGGCCGAAAATCCCAGCTGAGACCCGCTTATTATATAAATTCCGTGTGTAACTTCTTTAAAACATTTGGAAAAATAGATTTTATTTGCCCTAAAGAGAAGATGCTTTTTCTAGAGGTTTATTTCCTTGTGTTTAATTTGCAGTATAGTTAGTAATACAATGCAAATGGGATTCCCAGCTCATTTGCTAGGAAACGGAAATAATAAAGATCGTTTAAGAAACACAAGGGCACAAACGGAAAGTTGTCACTGCACTGGCCGAAAATCCCAGCTGAGACCCGCTTAAATGAGAATTAATTGGCCCCACTGGTGCTGCGAACCAGGGTTGCCAACTACTTTGTGCAATTAAAACAAATTGTATCTAACAGATACACGGAGCAGGTTAAGACCTAACTAAGTCGTTTCCCGGGTATATCAAGGTACCCATGCATTTCGTATACCCTAAGTTAGAATAATTTACAATATTATGTCTATATATACAATATATATTACATTTTGTATCATTATTACATTTAAAGCCTATGAAATATTAGAATTAGAAACACAAATAGCTCAACAAATTAATAATTTTTCCACGCACTTAGAAGGGTATTCGATCCATAGACTTAAGAACTAATTTAGTTTCGCTGTGTGTGCTTTATTGCCACCTTAACAAAGGTCTCTAACCAGGTTTAGCTGCATCATAAAACTTTTCTGCACATAATAATTCATATTAAACTAAGCCGGCTATTCGCTAGCTTCCTCTCTTTCTCCTCGTCTCTAGTCGTCTCTGTCTTCTTTTTTTCCGGCTTGGGTCACTCATTCATTCACTTGTTCGTTTTCAAAACAAAGGATGCCCTTTTTTAGTCTGGATTTTACTGCAAGGGATAAAAAAACGTTTGTTTTATTAAAAATACATTAATTCAAGTTAATATTTTGTTAAGTACTCTAAGTAAAATGTAAAAATGTTTTTCAAAAGTTACAATATAATATTACAAAAAAATTCAAAATTTAATAACTAAATAAATTTAAATAAATAAATTACTGTTTTTACAACATTTTTGTTTTAGTTGGTCGGCTTTTAAAGAACCTGGGTCATAGATACTACCTACCAAGAGAACTATTTTACCAGCCTTAACCCCTTTACACCACAGGCTTTATGTTTTCCCTTAAACATTCGCTTCATCAGACGCCGACGACCTGTTTTCGCTGTTGTTTTATAAACAATGGAAGTATTATGTGGGGGGCAACAACAATAGCCGTGGGTGGAAAAGCGTTTAGGTTATGCGGGGGGGAGGAAAAATGGAAAACATGTCGGAAAATATATAGTAGAAGCTGCTGCTTCGGAGGCAGTCAAAAAACAAGGTGTTTCCGACAATTTTTGCCCGCCCGAGGCCCAACGTCAACGTCATTGTCGACCGTTTAGCGTCTTGGAAAATTCCGAAAACGATTAAGGGGGAGGTTTTAGAGGGTGTTAAGTAGCTGGAGTCCTTAACCCCTTGCTTACCTCGTTTTCTTGACGATTGAGGAACCTGCAGTTAGCCCCAAACGATTTCCCCCCGCCCCAAAACCATTAATTAAACCCAACCCAAAGGCTTTGCCGTCCCCATTTTGATTTTGCCCTTTGTTTTGGTTGGCTTTTGTCTACTCGTTTTCAGATATTTTAGCCAGGAACATTTTTTAATTGTGTTTCCGGTAATTTACACTCTATTAAAAAATTTACTTCTCCATAAAGCGAGTCTTAACCCTTGACTGGCTGCTGTTACGCATTGTCAACTCATCAAAAGTACCGTCATTATCATCACAACGTCATTGGTTTTCGTCTACTTCAGCTGCTATGGGCAAAATCAAATTACATTAATAACTCGAGATGGGCATAAATCAGGCCCACAAAGGTGGTTCATTTTTCCGTTTTCCCCTTCGATTTCCCCTTCCCATGGAGCCAATCATGATCTAACCACTCTCAACTCATCAAATCTGCTGGGAAAATTGTTTGGAAATTTTAAACAAAACCCAAATGCCAACCAGCAGGTGGAGAAAAAGAAGTCGAGGAGAAAGCCGCAAATTTTGGAACATTTTACTAGCCACGCCCACCAGCTGCCGCCCCTTGCACACACACACACACCCGCAGACAAACCCTTTTGTTGTGATTGTTCATTGAGGCGTTGGGGAATCTGGAAAGAAGAAGCTTCAATGGGCAGTGCACTGAAGAAAAACATAGTACATTTACACTAAAAAAGAAAACAAAAATTATTTCCTTTAAATAATGTGGAATCTATAATACAGGTTAGCCAATGATTAACAGGAAATTTAAGTTGGCATTTAGTTACCCTAAACTGAACCATTATTGCACTTCCCAAAAAACGACCAAAAAAGATTTCTAGGAATGTAAAAAATATAATTTAAATTAGCTAATTTTTATTTTCTGTGTTGATGAGGAGAAAATCTGGGAAATTAAATGCTGAGGGAGGAACATGTGGGAGAAGTCCTGGCAAGACGAGAAGTTAGTCCTGTGCATTACCCCTGCCCTCCACAGCATGCATGAAATGTCTATTCTAATCCGGAAATTAAATTCCATTTAGAAATTGTCCTATACAAAATGTTTGGTCAGACATGTTCCCCTCTCCTCAACGACAGGGTGTGTATATGTGTTTGGGGATAACTATAGTCGAGCACACATCTATATATGCTTAATTTATAGTGAGCTCATCGGACAACTGAGGCAGCAGCCTGAGTTTCGCTTTGACCAGAACTTAACCCATCGAAATACTTGGCAATTCCCCCAGAAACAGCATTTACCCCAAATCGAGTGCAAATTGGTAATTGCTTGTGAATTGGTCTCTGAGGTTAATTGGTAGTGCAAAACACTTGATGGATTACGGTTTATTCACTTACTTTTCTTAGTATTATAAGTAAATGAAAAAAGTATTTTTAAATATTAATTATATTTGTGTCTTAAAAAATTTCGTAAAAATGTATGAGCTACACCAAGTACTTGCCCAAATGTTTAACAAACTATGAACATTTTACGAAATATATAGCTTTGTATTACAAAAAGTTTTAAATTCTGTTGTGTAACCCTGACAGGGTTAAGTCACGTGTCAATATACAATTAAATTCCCAATTGAATGATGGGGGCTCAAAAATCACAGGATACTATCCGCAAGTTAAATGCCCAAAATACGTACCTTATAGCTAAGGCAAACAGCTTTTTCAGTCACTTTTATATTGAGCCAACTGTTTGAGAAGTGGGATTCACTTGGGATTTAAATATCCCCTTTGCCAGGGAATGACACACAAAATGTGTCAACTAATCAAAGGCCCAAAAATACTGAAAATACCTGAGGCAGGCTAACAATCAAAATATCAAACTGCCGACCATTTGTAGTAAAGTAATAGAGGGGTTTGCTTCCTAATGCGACAAAGCCATTTGCTTTATTTGTTTTTTCTTGGTACACTGAAAGAAAAATAAAACAAAATGAAACATTAAAGGTATTACAATTTTCACGGATACAAATAAATTAAGAAGTAGGACAAAAGTCAAACCCGAAATATTTTTTTATTTAAAAAAAATTGGAAATAATTTTTAGACAAGGTACCAAAGCTATAAGCGCCTTTCAAAATATTTGCACTATAATTTTCTCCCCGTGCATCTTGCGTGTGAGCAATAAAATTCTTTATCATTCTTTATTTGTTACTCCGTTTTTGTTGGCTTTTTTAAAATGCTCGCGCGCGAAAATGGCCAAATGGCAACGGAAAATGTTTATGGCTTGTTATTTGGGCATAAAAGCATGGCTGCCACGCCCCCTTTTATTCGTTGTTCGCCATATGACGTGACTGCCCCCACACACGAGCCAAGAAATTATCATTCAAAATAAAGGCAGCCGCGGAACAATGAAATTGTCAAAAAATGTAAAACGAGACACGCATCAAAGTGACGCGGGCGGCGGGTCTAAATTGTTTTGCCAAACAAATAAATTTATGTTGGCAATTTGGAAATGAGCGTGGGGCTTGCCAAGATAAATAGAGCGCCACTCGAGATGCTCATTCAGAGCCAATAAAAATTACGCAGCAATTGTGGATGGGGATGGCAAAAAACAAGGGGAAAGCAGCCGGAGTTCGAAAGTGTCGACACTTCCAAGTGTCTCCTGGCGTTCTTTTATTCGCCCTTAACCCTTGGGCGCCGGGACACGTACCATCTAGGATCGTTGAGGTCTCAATAGCCTGCCCCCAAAAGGGGAAAAGCGGAAAACGGGGGTCAAAGCGAAGCGTGACGCAAATGGCAAATGAAAAGCAAATGAAAACCAGAGCGAAAACTGCTCGAATATAATAAGAAATGTAATCAGACTAAAGGGGGCTGGGAAAGTGTGAGGGCAACACTGAAAAATATTTTAAATAAAGCTGAGACCTAATTTTATATATTTAATATAAATAAAAATTTATTTGAACAGTTTTTATTTATATGTGCAGGAAATACTTTTAATATTTTTTAAGGCTTTAACTATTTATTATATTTAATATTTTTTGTAAAATGGCAATAAAGAGGGTGCCACAGAAATTGTAAGTGATAGAAAACTGACATTAAAATCCAGCGTTGTTGAAGAATTCATTACTTCACTACTATTTTCTCAAACGTTCGACGAACATTTGAGAAACAACATAATTTAAAAGCGACGAATGTAAGATGGTGTGATTTATTTCACAGAGACACCTTGCGCACAGAAAATGAGACAAATTTATCGAATGTGCGATGATTAGGTAAAAACGTAATATATTAGCAACGCTTGATATAGCATAGAACATTTGGTTTTATGGAAAAATACGTACTTGTATGGTCTAATTTGACTATTTAATTCCGATATTATTATGTTTGGTTTA